TATGTTCTCGATGAGTTTTCTGAGCTCCTTGTCACTGCATTGATAGCGTCATATCCATGCGAGTTTAATGGTTCCACCAGTAAGAGGAGACCACCCGTGAATCACCAGTTTGTGGCGGTGGCAGTCAATTTTCCTATGGAGTAAAGGAATTAAACCGGCCAGAGTCAGGGTGGCACATGAAAAGCGCAGTCTCATTGTTCGGGGACACTCTGTTCACTTGGTTTGGGCCTGAACTAATGGTTACCAGGGGGTGGGGTTGGAGGGGGTTGAACAAGGAGACTAGGTCATTCCGGCCAACATTAGCTGTTTGTGCTTTGGGATTCCATGTCTCTCTTCTCTCGGGCCTGTAAGTAGAATGTGTTGGGCTTCATTTCTGACCTGTTGTTCTCAATGAAACGGTTTTCACCTTTGCAGAGGCAGATGCAGATCCCAGGGTTCGATCCCCAAACCTTACCCATGTACAGTACCGAGTTGACCCCTGAGTGTTTGAACCCGTGACCTGTGTTTTGACAGTTGTTGTTGTCTGTCGTAGGTCGGTGTAGGGGTGGGGCAAGTGGGCAAGTGGTGGAGCCAACCTCAGTGTGTTGGAAGTGCAACTGCTGTGAGGTTGCAGTCCAACCCCATGCAGTCAGCGGTACGGTCCAGTCAGTCCCAGTCCAGTCCAGCAAGTACCATACGGGACTGTGTGCACAATGGGCCGATGGAAAAAGGGCCAGACCAGTGAGCTACAGAAGTATAAATCCGGAGGCAGTGTCCAGCCATTCATTCATTCCTGCGTAAGCCATGCGGAAGCGCTGCCATATCGTTTGTGCGAGGTGGTCTGCAGTGAGCCCGAGGACGAAGAGGGCGAGAAGGAGTTAGCCATAGCTGTAGATCTGTGCGGGTGTGTGCGAGTGTGCAGAGGGATGTGTGTGGGGTATCCAGGGTAATCCTGTGTGCGAACAGCACTGTCGAGTAAGTGACGAATAAAGAGTTGTTCAGGCGATGTGCCACCATAGCCATGTGAAGTGAACTTGTAGCTGAGTGCGTTCTTGGTACTATATCTCTGAGTTCTGAGTGGGGGCCTGGCGCCAGTTTGCTGAGCAACCTGTTTGCATACGTGTGAAGTGTGAATGAATGCGAGTCTGATTGCACTGGTATCGGAGCTGGTACCCGCTACCTCACGCACCATCGCCGTTGTAGCAGAAGTCTGCCATAGCTGCGCTGCGGAAGGAAGTGACGCGTACCTGCACAGAAGACAACGA